TATATATATATATACACACACACACACACACACACATGTTCTTTTCATATACAAGCGCCATCATGATGCAGATTCACAACCTTTGGTCCTCTTGCTGTTCTGTACTTCAGTTTCTAGAAGGCTCAGTGGTCAGAAATTCTGAGACTTTAAGTTTGAGAACTACTGGTACAGATTACAGTGCTGAACAGGTTTGGATGATGCAGGTTCTAGTTCTCACTGGCCATGAAACTTATTGATTTTTAGCTAGTCCTTCTGTCTTTGACTGACCTACCTTACAGTGTTCTTGTATGGATAAAATGGGGCAGAAAGAGCCAGGTATGCCACCTTTAGTTTGCTAGAGGAAAAGTGGGTTATAAATATAGTTTTAAAAATAGGAAATATGAGTGGCACAATTGTGAGTTTTATAGATTTTGGTAGAAATGCGGTAGAAAATTATTTATATGATCAAAGTCATAGAATGCACATAGAAAAATAAACCACAAGCCTCTGAAGCACGGCTGACCTCAATGAGTCTCTTCTCAGTAGCGTGTACAGGACTATGGACTTACTAACTCTTGAGTATTTGAGTCAAGGACATGTGTGGACACCAAATCACAAATCAACAGTTTTTATAACAAAGTTATATATTTTAGATACTAGCCTGTACATACTAAGTTGGGAGTAAATCCCACTGAACTCAATGAGACTTACTTCCAAGTAGTCAGTAGGAGTAGGCTGTATTCAAATACTGAATGGTCATGGTTAATAGTGTAATTACCACTGCATACATTTTCTGCATTTTAATTACCTCACATTCAATTGGTTACAATCGCCCTCCAGTATGCCTTTGAATATATACGTGCTTGAAGCTTAAGATAACAGTTTATCTAATGAAGTGGACTGCAGCCTATAAAAGTTTGTCATTAAAAAATTCTTAGTATTTACAATGGCACAAGACTTGTAGTGCAACCCTATATGTGTCCGCTCAGAAATATGAACTACTGAATTCAATGGAATCTGCTACTAAGTAATCTGAGATCAGACTACAGCCCTGACAAGTCTATATATTGACATGTCTATTGTCTTCTACTCCTAACTTTACTCTTCCTTTGTTTTTGCTTTCTCTACCAAAAGGAAATGCAGTAACACTATATAACAGATGTAAATGACTAGCGAAGGATAAAGAATTGGCAATAAGAAATAATTTGCACACACTTTGAAGGTATTTTTTTCACTCTTTACCCTATACATTCATTAGTCAGGGTTTCTTTTTTAAAAAGAATGAAAGATTATGATTCAAGCCGTAATAGCCACTACCTACTTAGACTCCACTATGATGTAAAAAAAATATGGTGGTAAACTAGAGGAGCCAGGCCCAGAAGAAGAAGGGCCAGGCAGGGAGGGTGGGCGCTGGATCCTCATTGCCCCCTTGATACCACTGTTATCAAGGCCATCATGGTTGCTGGACTGGACAACTGCCAGGCTGATGATAAAAAAAAAAAAAAAGCCAAGAAGAAGAAAATCAACTCATCTGAGATGTGTGCTAAATAAGAGTGCAGAGGATACCGTGGAAGGACAAAAAGACAAACAAATTTGCCCTTGAACAGATCAAGCCCAAATTTGCCCTGGAAGCCAAGACGATGAAATTGAGGCTGTTTGTCCTTTGGTCACATCACGAAAAGGCATGAAGAATAGGGGAAAAAACAATAATGCTAGAAAAGATGGAGGGAAGCAGAAAGCGAGGAAGATTGCATACTAGATGGATGAAGTGTATTAAGGAGGCCACAGAACTGAATCTTCAGGACTTAAGCAGAACAGCAGAGGACAGGGAGTCTTTGAGATGCCTCACCCACAGGGTCGTCATGAGTTGGGAATGGCTTGAAGGCAGTTAATAACATCACTATATATGGATGTGAGAGCTGGACAGGGAAGAAAGCAGCTCGTTCAGGATGTGGTGCTGGAGAAGAGTGCTGAGGATCCCATGGACAGCCAAAAGGACAAACAAATGGGTCCTAGAACAGATCAAGCCAGAGATCTCTCGGGAAGCCAAGATGACCAAACTGAAATTGTCATACTTTAGCCACATTGTGAGAAGGCACACCTCACTGGAAAAAAAATCAATAATGCTAGGAAAGGTGGAAGGTGATAGAAAGAGAGGAAGGCCACACAAGGATGAACTCAATCAAGGATGTTAGGGGTCTGAATGTACAGGACTTACGAGGGGGTATCATAAAGTAATAATTATCACCTGGGAGTTATTATGGTATATTGATGAAATTTTGTCAGTGTCATCATCACCAAGGGACTTTTTTTTTTTTTGTTCCCAGAAATGAAAAACCCATTGCAGCAGGGTTGCCAGTTTGACAACACAGTTGACGCCATTCATGAAGTGGAAGAGTGGTTTATTAAGGCGCAATTTGCAGAGTTCTACAATAACTGTATTTGGAGGGTGAAGAAACGCTGGAGAAAACGTGTAAATCTGGATGATAAGAACTACAAATTGAAACAAGCTTTTTTTTTGTGTGTGTGTGTGTATGTGAAGGTGATAATCAAAACTTTACGACCCCCCCCCCTCGTAAGCAAAGCCCTGGAGGAATGGGGGGGGGGTGTCTTGGAGGTGCCTCACCCACAGGGCTGTCATGCAAAGCAAAGCAGCTTCATTTATATACCGCTTCATATCGCGCTATGGGATGTCTAAGCGGTTTACAACTGTAAGCTCATGAACCAGGGTCGCCTGGAGGGCAGCTCAGCCAGAACAAAAGCGGAGGGGGCTCCAGTCTGGAGGCACTGGGAGAGGCCGATGAAGACGGACGAGGATTCTCGGGGGAACAAAACGGACCTCGGGAAGAGGACAGGAACATGCTTGGCTGGCTTTGCTTTCCCTTCTTTCTCTGGGCGACGTCCAGTTCCTCCTTATGACCTGGGGACTAAACAGGAGCCCAGGCCAACGCTGCAGCCCTCCCACCCAACGCTCTCCGCTCAGACCGAAGAGGGAGGAGAGAGGGCTGTAAACAAGGCCGCAGAGCGAAGGGCCGCCTGGGCTGCGAGGGGTGAAAACACTCTCCTCCTCCGCCTCCGCCTCCGCCAGCTGAGGCCGGTAAAGCAGGGCCCCGGCGGAGCCTCCGCTCAGAAGGTCCCTCCGCGGCCCTTCCTCGCCTGAGGCACAAACGCCGCTCCCTCCCTCAGAGACGCACTCTCCCTCCGAGTCTCACCTGCTCGACCGCCTCTGTTTACTGGAACCGGAGGACCATCTCCGACAGGAGACACTTCCTCCTTCTTCGACAGGGTCACTTCCGCTTCCTGTTCGTCATCGGTCACTTCCGCAGCCTTGCCTCCGCCACACGTCATCCTCCCCTGCCTCCTCCACGTCCAAGAGACGCGGGAGAAACCGAGAGGACCCGCGCACTAGCCACTTTCGGTTCCCATTAGGACGCGCCACCGCAGGCCGTGTGCTAATTGGGGTTCTTGTTCTCAACGAGGGAACCGGGCCCTCCAGGTCTTTTGGACTTCAACTCCCAGGAGCCTCAGCCGGCTTGGCCAGCTGTCAGGAATTCTGGGAGGTGAAGTCCAAAACATCTGAGTGACCAAAGTTTGGGGATCACTGCCTGTTGTGGAAACTTGTGGAGCTTTTATTGAAGTATTGGCTTTCTGGGACTAGAGATATGTTGTTGTTGTGTGCCTTCTAGTAGGATTTTAATGTTTTAAAATGAGACTGCTTAGAACTTGGTAAGAAAGAAAAGTGTTATTTTGTGCCACCAGGATCTGCAATTTATAACTCTCATGCTAGCTGATTCAATGACTTGAGTCACTTTTTCCACACTGAGGCTGCATCCACACTGCAGAAATAATCCGGTTTGGTGCTGCTTTAAATGCCACGGCTCCATGGTATGGAATCCTGGGAATTGTTGCTTATTGTGGCACCAGAGCTCTCTGACAGAGAAGGCTAAATTTGCTAAATGGCCAACACAGCTACTCCAGAATGTGTTCACAAACACTACAATTCCCAGAAATCCAGAGCACTGGGCCATGGCAGTTAATGTGTGAAGGGAGGACACTGTTGTTGTTGCTGTGTGCCTTCAGGTCGTTTCCGACTTATGACAACCCTAAAGTTGGCAAGATATGTTCAGAGGAAGCTTGCCTTTCCCTTCTGGGGCTGAGAGAGTGTGACTTGCCCAGTGAGTTTCCATGGCCGAGACAGGATTCAAACTCTGTTCTCCAATACTCAAATGGTTTGCCAGAATATTTATTTTTTTGTTAACTGCCTTTGTGTCGATCAACCCTCTGGATCAGACATCTCCAGGCGCCTCTGTCCTCTACTGCTCTGCCCAGCTCCTGCAAACTCATAGTTGTGGTCTCTTTAATGATGTTCACCCATCTATCATGTGGACTTCCTCTCTTTCTACTTCCCTCCTAACATTATTGTCTTTTCCAGCGATTCATGCCTTCTCGTGATGTGTCCAAAGTCCGACAGTCTATATACTCTTGTATATTTTGTAGCACCTTTATGAGAACTGACAGTTCTTCCGCACTGCAGAAGTAAAGCAAGCGCTTTGACGCCCCTTTAACCATTATGGCTTCATCTTGTGAAATCCTGGGATTCGTAGTTTGGTGAGGCATTCGGCCTGGTTTTGCCAGAGAGCTCTGGAGCCTCACCAAAACTACAGATCCCAGGATCCCACAGGATGGAGCCATTGACGGTTAAAGCGGTGTCACACTGGGTTGTTTCTCAGGTGCAGATGCTGCCTAAATCAGGCTTTATCCTGTTTATCAAAAAGAAAGAAATTATTTGCACCCACGCTACAGAAATAAAGTGGTTTGACACCACCCTAGTTACCATGACTTCTTCCTGCAGAATCTTGGGATCTGTAGATTGACGAGGCACCAGAGCTGTCTGGCAGCCCAGGCTGGATACCTGAATGAGCTACAAATCCCACGAAAAGGCTACATATCACAAAGCTACAAATCCCATTGCATTCAGCCATGGCAGTTAAAGTGCTGTGGACTTGGATTAAATCTCCAGAGAGCCAGTATCGCCTAGTGGTTGGAGCCCTGGACTATGACTCTGGAGACCGGGGTTAAATTCCCCGCTCGAATAGCATAAGAGCCCACTTGGGGTGACCTTGGGCGAGTCACTCTCTCTCAGCCTCAGAGGATGGCACTGGCAAACCCAATCTGAAGAAACCAGCCAAGAAATCCCAGGGGAACCAGGAAGAACAGCCTGTGGACTGGGAACTTCAACCAAGG